GGGTTTTCTTGCAAAAGCCCAACCGGCAAATGGACACCCTAAAACCTATGAAAAGGCCTTTCCAAAAGCCCCAACCGGCAATTCAGGAAAAATCGGTTGCCTTTCGTTCTAACGATTAGCATTTAGCAATTAGCTAAATTGTTAACATTCGTACTATGGCATATGGATAGCCACCTGGCACCGTCTCACCTCTGCCAGCCTCCTATCCAGGGGCAATTACCCTAACCCGAACCAATCATGCGGAAACACACTTGCAAAAAGTAAGCAGCAAAAAGAAAATTCAAAATACATTCATTCAAAACCGGCTCAGCCGGTGGAAATGTAGCTGAATAAACCAAAGCTTCCGGTGAAAATATGAACTGTTTACAAAAGGAACCGGCACAGCCGGCGAAAATGTATATCAATACTCAAAATAAAAAATAACAGCAGAGTAAGCCGACCCTTCCGACGCTATTACAAAATAATGCACGGCACGCAGGCCAGGAGGTCGTTGCTACTCTAGCTGCACTGTCACCCGGTCAGCCTCAGCCTGGTTCCCCTCCGGATGAGATGGGTCGGTGGTGGGAACGAAGCCGGGAGCAACCTCATCCTCGACTACCGCCTCATTGCCAGCCGGCTCCGCCTACATTCGCTGGAACTCGGCATCAACCCATTGCTCATAGGGTCCAGGCCCCGGCTTGCCCTCCTCCTCAGCCAGAATGGCAAGATCTGCGTATTTGTAGGCGAGCTCCCAGACGTTGTAGTCTGCATCCGGGTGGATAATGGAGAACGCCCTCTTCATCCGGTTCTCGCAGTCCTGCTCATTCTCCTCAATGAGCCGGCTCTGATCAGCTTCAAGAGTGGCCTGAAAGTTGCGTTGTGCAGCAGCAGCCTCCTTGACCAGGCGGTCATTCTCTATTTGCAGTTGTTTGCTGCTCTTCTCCGCATGGTCAAGCCGCTTGAGGGGCTCCTCATGCTTCTTGAGCTCATCCTCCGTATTGTCCAGGGCCACCTGCAGGTTGTTTATTTTGGTCTTGGACTCTTTGAGGGCCTGTTGGAGGGACTTGACCTGATCCGCCTGTCGCATGATTATAGATTTAGTTTCTAAGTCATGCACAATCATTGAATAGTGGGCAACGCTATGTGCGTCATCCGCAGAACGTTTGGCTCTTCTTACCTCCTATTGCTTGCGGATGTGGGCCTTCTTGAGCCCCTCCACGCGGAGCAGTGCCTGCAACAACACAGCCGGTATTAGTAAAAAAACCGGATGAGTATACTACAAATAAAATGCCGGGTGGGCACTCATCAACTCACATCGGCCAGGTCGACCATTACACGGTCGGCATTGAAGGTATTGATTCCAGGAATCGCCTCCTTCTCGTCCCGGGGGACGGCTTTACCATGGCCCGGGCGTACTGAGCAGCGTCTGGCCAGCGTGGAGAATTATCTGCACCAGAAACAGACGGTGAGAAAGCTGTATATGCTCCGCCTACGGACAGCCGGCTGATCGGAGAATCTCCCGGCTGAGACTGAGAATATGACTTAACCCGCATGGGTAGGTCAAGCAGCGTGAGGTTTAAGGGGTTTGTACCTTGTTGGGAAGCCCTCTGGCCCCCGGCAGAAGATGGACCCATTGTGTTCCTTATTGGGGTGACCTCTTTCGAGTCCGTTTCAGCATTAGACCCGCCTGGGGTCTTTATTGTTTTACCGCCGGTAGTAGTCCGAGTGGTGGAAGCAGTTCTATGCACCTTAAGTGCAGGCTCCTCAACAGACGGCCGCTGCCAGATCTGTTTTTTCAGAGAGCGGGGGATAACGCCCCCATCCCAAAACAAAGTCACAAACGGTCAGACGAAGAAGTGGCCAAAATAGCACCAAGACAAACAAATATAAAGGGTCAGGAGGCTAACCTTTTTAGCCTCTTGAGCGGCAAGCTTCTTCTCCAAATTCTCCTTTCGGATATCTGAATCTTTCTTGGCAGGTGTCTTGGCGGTGGGCAACATGTTTTTTGCTTCTTCTGCAAAACGCAAATACATCCGGTCAGGATCATAATAATATCGCACATTGCTATCAAAAGAAAAGGGTTAGCCGGCATAAAATTAACCGGCTAGGGTTCGTAACCTACGTCTTTCAAACATGCTGCTAAGCTCGCAGGCGGACAAGAAGCACTCGTCCTTAAAGAATTCGTGTTTGGGCACCCAGTTTTTGGGCACCCTTATTATCTCTCCGGTTGAGAGAGTGGAAGAGGTTAGTTCAAAAAATCCGGAGTCCAATATGGCCTCCCTGTCATTATCCGGCACTAAGGGCAGCCGGCACTTCTGCCCCAAAAGCTCTGGTTTCCGGTTGTAGGTCCGGAACTCCCTATTCTCCTCTTCAGTAGGAGCTTTGACCAGGTAAAACCGGTTCTTCCAATCCGACCATTTAGACGACTTATCCAGCGTCATCATATATTGAGGATAAGTCGTCAAGGTGTACCAGGCCCTCCAGCCGCCTGGGCTCCTACTTAAATAATGCATTTGGGCAAACGCCTCCCAGCCGAGGTTGAGATCCTGCATCTCGCAGGCGGCGATGTATCCTAGAATGTTCACCCAAGAATTAGGGGTGAGTTGCCAGACGCCTAGGCCATATCCCCTAAGTATGGCCTTTATCGTGTTGTGAAGGGGGAATCGGACCCCGGCTAGGAAAGCCGCTTCATAGCACCCAAACCAGCTGTTTGCATTGGGTTGGTCATCTTCCCATACAACCGTCCTGTACTCTCCCGGTACTGACAGCTTGTACCCTCCTCCAAGCGGTCGCTTGGTGATGAAGTCTGTTAGAGAAGACCGCATGAGGGCCCGATCCTTGAGAGAGACGGCAATCATGAGAGGGTCATGTTTACTTTGCCAAGAAGGCCTCTCCGCCTCCTCGCTATCTTCTGACTCGGTCAAGTAGCTAGAGTTGCTACTTTCGACGCTACCGGCATCTGTGCCGGATGGGGAGTTGGGATCCTCGTTGACGGATCCTGGCAGCTCAGCCTCCTGAGCAGGGGAAGACTCCTCGTTGTAGGAGCCTAAGATGCTATCGCTTGGGGTGGCGGTAATGCCACCGGATGGTTCTTTAGCCGCCGCGTCCGGGGCTTGTCTCTCAGGCGACAACTCATTTGAGTCCCCGCCTCTGTAATTGGGGTCCATAGGTTTTCCCCTAATTCGGGCCATCGTGTCCTGTACAGACACGGAGTCGGTCGATACAGGCGTTGAAAAGGGGAAATTCCAAAGATCAGAGGCGGCAGATCCAGTTCTAGACTCAGCCGTACTAATTGACCGGCTGAGTTCACAACTATGTTTCGGGTATGGGTATAAAGGGTCCATCTACCTATGGGACTAATAAACAAAAACACAAGCAAAAGACGCAAACAGAAATACATGGAAAATCGAGAAGGAATAGAGACGGTACCTAGAGTAACGAAGAATTTGCTGAAACCTCAAGAAATTTCTTGGGGATGCTTGCAAAGACACAGACGGTTTGAAGACCGGCTGGGTTCTCTTGGGTACCCTCACGAAAAACCTTTGCTTGCTCGCTACCTCACAGGCGGTCTGGAAACCGGCTGCTATCAATTGTCAGATTTTCGTCTGCTCTCAACTCTCAAATACCGGATGCTCTCAAATACCGGATGCTCTCAAAATTCAAGAAAATTCACAAAGTTTGTAAATGAGCTCTCGTGGGCGTCTCCTCCTATTTATAGGGGTTGCCTCAAAAGGCGAAGGGTCTCGACCTTTCCCCTTCTGCTTTTCCCTCTTCTTTCAGTTAGAATCTGAAGAGGTTCAAAAAAAAAGGGGGGGGGGGTCAGCGTTCTTCTCAGGCGCCACGTGGCACCCTGCCACGTCAGCACCCGAGAGGGGCAAATGTTTGGGGTAAAAATACCCTAGCCACGTGGCCCTATGTCTAAGCGACACGTGGCACCCAGCCATTGGTCAGCAGGGCTCCAATACCCTGCTGACACGTGTCCCATGAACCCTAAATGAGGAACCAAGGCTTCCCACTATAAATAGTGGGGAGATTCTCATTAATGGGCATTCATTCAATTCTATTGAATTCGATACAAGACATTCAATACTCTCTTACACAAAAACTGAGCAATATTAATTGTGGAATTCTCCCATTACGTGAGAAGTAATTTCACTATTTTACGCACTATTTTCCTCCTGTACGTAACTGACTTGATCGTCGGAGGCGGAGCTCCAACCAACCGGAGTCTTCGTGGTTTTACAGGTATAGGCGACGAAAGGCATTCTCGGAACTGTAACTCTCCCGCAGGACACATCAGAAAACCCCAAAACAGAGGTTATACTTGGTAAAGGTTCTGTTATCAGGGTGATTCTTACTGTTTGCTTAATAGAACTAGAAGCATACATAAATTATTCTAAGTGACTAATGGTTTTTGGCGATTTTGTTAACTGTATCTATGCATGTTGACTGTATGCATGTTGGCTGTGATTTAGGTTCTAACCGATAAGCTTATGTGTTTGAGAGGGAGATAAATTTTAACACAAGATCACGCCTGGAATGAAGATAGTGAATTAAAATGTAATACGAAATAAAATCAGTTGGAGGATAATAGATTGATGGGCAAAGGTGTTGGTGATTGAAAAAGGAATTGGTTGTAATGGTTCCCAACCACTTCCCTACACCCAAATGAAAGTAACAGTTCTTCCATTGGCCCCCCCTTCCAACCACCAATGTGTCATCCCTTCTACTACTTGGTTTGGCCTCCTTTCTTCTCAATCGAATTTTCTTAAAGCATGTTCCCAAAGTGAGTAGGAGGATCAAGAAGAAAGAATTGATGAAAGAAATTGCTCCGTAAAGAATTGAAATATTTGAAACTATGACTTGGGCTAATTAAGGTTTTTTATTTTTTTGGTCACTAGATTTGGTCTAAACCATGGTACGATTGATGTTCATGTCTCAATCAACCACCCCCCCCCCCCCCGGGGCATGAAGCACATCTTCACCGTCTCCACCAAATAATAATTCATGAACCGTTTGAAATGTTGCAGTATACTTTGCTGGTGCTTATCATCTTGCTTTTAAGTGAAAATTTGCATTACAGTGTAACTCTTGGATTTTGCATGTTATTTCTTTCATCAACTATGTTTGAATCACGAAGAAAAAAAACACTACTGTTTTCTGATATCTAGTGCTTTTTTTGTTTCACTTGTCAAGAAAAGTGCACAACATGATTCTCTCATCCAACACCTATCTGAACATAAACTGTGTTATGGATAAGCAGACTGAAAAATTAGGCATTTGGCACATCAACCATGGGTCTTGATGGTGTCTTATCTCCTCATAAAAGTTCTTTTACTTCCTCTTTACCGCTCAAATAGATTGCAGAGAATGATATAAGCAGCTCTGCACTCATCCAGCAGCACCGCTTTCTTCTAACAGCTATTGATCTTCTTGTTTTACTGTGCACAATATACCTTTACTTTGCTGTCACACTGGGATCAAATGACTTATGTTCTGGTTCTCTGCGAACAGAAAGAGAATCATGTCTGGTAAATCATGGCAAGGGGAGCTTCACCAATGGAAAAGTGAACTGCTAAACGTCGCTCCCAATTTACCAGGTGTCGCTCCCATTTTGAAATAAAATGACATTTTGCCCTTTTCATAACTTGGGCTATATAAGGGTCCAGCACTTGGTTAAAAGATTCCCGAGAATTTTAATATTAATCCCGACACCCACTTGCTTTAAAAAATTCCCGAGTCCCAAAATCCACCACTTGCTTTAAAAATTCCCCAGGCCCACCAACAAAAACCCGATTTATTTTTAAAAAAATTATTAAGCTTTAACGACGGGTTTAGGACGATGGACAACGACAACGATCGTACACCGGAGGCATCGTCGGAGGATTCGGTAAGTCGTCGAACTTTTTTTTTGTATTTTTTGAAATGGGGACATCCGCCTAAAATTGTTGGATCTTCCATGGTGGATCCGGAAATTTCAGGCGGATCCACCATGGAGCATCCAACAATTTTAGGCGTATGTCGAATTTATTTATTTATTTATTTTGTATTTTATTGATAATTAATCAAATCATTTTTGTTTTTGTTAAACCAAATAATCCAATTTATCAATGTAATCTTTGTGTGATAATTATATTTTTTATTGTGATTATTATTATTTTTTTGATAATTTGAGTAATTAGTATTCGTATTATTAGTTAATATTTGTTATTTTTGTGATATTAGTTAATGTTTATGTTAGTTAATATTATTTAATGTTGTGATATTAGTTAATGTTATGATATTAGTAATGAGATAATATTAGTTAATGTTGTGATATTATTATTATTATTATTATTATTATTGTTGTTGTTGTTGTTGTTGTTCTTGTTGTTGTTGTTGTTGTTGTTGTTGTTTTTGTTGTGTTGTTGTTGTTGTTGTTTTTGTTATTGTTGTTGTTGTTGTTGTTGTTGTTGTTGTTATTGCTATTATTATTGTTATTGCTATTGTTGTTATTGTTGTTGTTATTATTGTTGTTATTGTTGTTGTTGTTGTTGTTGTTGTTGTTGTTGTTGTTGTTATTGCTATTTTATTGTTATTGCTATTGTTGTTATTGTTGTTGTTATTATTGTTGTTATTGTTATTGTTGTTGTTGTTGTTGTTGTTATTTTGTATTATTATTGGTATTGTTATTATTAGTATGTTGTGCGAAATATGTCGTTATTATTGTGATTAGTAATATTAGAGAATTTTGTGTGTTTTCTTTTATTTTTATAGGATTCAGAGTTTGAAGACGGCGGTGACGGTGTAAATTATAGTGTGAATTTTGTCACGGACACGTTTTTTTCAACGTTTGATGATGCTACTAAATGGGCGGATGCTGTTTCCATAAATCTTGGGTTTATTTTGGTTAAATCATCTTACAACCAAACTAGTGATGGTAGGCCGTATCGATATTTGAGATGTGATCAAGGACAAAAGAGCAAGCTGAGAGATTTGAAGAACGCAATTTGAAAGGACACAAAATCCAAAGCTAATGTTTGTCCTTTCTACATCAAGATATAGTATGAGTTCATCACAGACAGTTGGAAGATCCGGACAAAAAATGATGCAATTGGACCCATAACCATCCAATGATTGTGTATAAGGAGGGTCATCGTAAAATTAGTGGCTTGATCCCGGATACAAAGAAGTTTGTGCGTGACATGACAAAGTCCAAGGTTGCACCGCGTAACATCATGGCAACTATTGCAGAGTAATTTCCTGATGATCATCCAAACATCAGACACATTTACAATTGTCGGAATGACTTGAGAACGGAGATGTGTGAAGGCAGATGAGTTGTTTAACAATTTCTTAAATTGGCGAGACAGAGTCAGTATATTTACTGGGTCATGGCTGATGATCTCGGCATTCTACAACATGCATTTATGGTGCACCCAATCACGGTAAACATACTACGCACGTACCCACATGTGATCGGTATGGATTTGACATACAAGACCAACCGATACGGGATGCCGTTCTTTGAGATAGTAGGTGTGACACCGACAAATCAGAATTTCCTTGTCGGTTATGTGTTTATGCGCAACGAGTTCATGGCAAGCTATTGGTGGGTGTTGCAGAGACTAAGGGAGTTGATTGGATATGATATAGAACCGTCGTTATTTTTGACAGACCGTGAGCTTGGCCTCTGTGCAGCATTAAGAGAAGTGTTTCCAGGGATGTCGCATTTACTTTGTCGATGGCACATTAACAAAGATGTGGAGGCTAGGGTGACTGTTATGTTCCAAAACAAGAGGATCGGTGCGAGTTTTAAAAACGGAAAATGGAAACGTATCATGGATGCTGCAACCGAGGCGGATTATAATGCTGCTGTAGATACAATGAAAGCTCGGTGGGCAAGTTATCCAGCAGTGATTAGTTACGTTGAGAGAACATGGCTTTGTCATAAAACCAAATTTGTGACATTTTGGACGAACCAAGTTCTTCACTTTGGTAACACGAGTACTTGCAGAGCTGAGAGCCAACATTCGGCCGTAAAGACGTGGTTTGAATCATTAACAGGTTCATTGTTATAATGTTGTAGTTGTTGTATTTACTTCCTCTTTGTTATTTTAATTAAAAATCATAACGTTTTCTTATAATTTGAATCAACGACAGGTTCTTTGGATACCATATGGGCCCGAGTACATTGTCATATTGGTAATCAGATCATTGCAATTCGTAATGGTTTGGAGGCATCAAGGTCAAAGATTGGTGAGAAGTACAGACAATTGCCAATGTCACGTATAAACGGCAAGGTGTCTCAGCATTGTTTAAAAGTTCTCGATGATGAGATGAGAAATACGAGGGAGTTGAGTTACAAGGTATATGAGCGTTGTGGATGTGCAATGCGTGTGACCCACGGTTAGCCATGTGCTTGCCAGATACATGATTCGCTAGTTGCACAGTAAGGCTTGTATATCAGGAAAATTCATCCATTTTGGAAGACCTTGGTTATTAGTGATGGTGTTGATGTACCTCTGTTCGTTAACGACTCGACCGAGGAAGCTGCACATTTTCGTTCCATGGTTGATGAGGCCATTGGTAGTGATCCTGCTGTACTTCGAAATGTATCTCGCATCATTGAGGAGGAGCTGCATCTAGATCATTCAAACCTTGAAGAACCACATGTAAACCACAACATTTGAGGTCGACGAAGGAACAATGATACAAGACGTGATCCTTGTTATTTCAAACATGTCAACTGTCGAAACACTCAACGTGGTACACAACAAACAAGAGCGACCTCAGGTTAGTCAGTATATTTGCACTTGTGAAGTACATGGCTATTGTGATTTACACGTATTTCATCTTGTAGCGTACTAATAACTGAACATTAATTTTGTGCAAAAGAACCATGTGACATCCGCCAATGCAGGTATTTGCACTTGCGTCTAGGACTGATGTTGCCTTACATCACGGCATGGAAGGATGTCATTGGTGATGGTAACTGTGGCTTTCGTTATGTGGCTGACTTCTTCTTCGGTGATCAAGAGCAATGGTTTGACGCTCGGGAAACAATAGCAAATGAGGTCGCCACTCATCCAACTTTGTACGAAAGGATTTAGGTGATTGGAAGGGTTTGGATGAATGTAGAACGTATTCAATGGGATGATGGGGCGGTTGATTCACGACATTAGATGGTTGCAATTCAGGATTTATTTCCTATTGCTACTTGGTTCAACGCAAGGGTGATTATTCTCAGTGTAGGCACCGTACCGACCTGTTACTACCCATGCCTCATGGTGTTACCGTTGCTGGCACAAAACACGGTCAGGGCACCTACTCGTGCGTTCATGATCGTTATAGTTGGTGGGTCACATTTCATCCGTCTTGATCTTGCACAAGATTCACCTCTTCCCCCGATTGCCGGTTGGTGGACCGAGCACCACGAGCCTAGTGTTGATGGATGGGATCAACAGTATGAAGTTAGAAGGAACATGTGGGATGCATTAATTAGGTAGAGAACTCACTGAGGTTAAACAGATGTAGCTATGTAATATAAATAATTAAAGTAATTAAACTTAGTTCCAACAAAACCAAATATGAAAGTGTCCAGTTCTTACATTACATGCCGAATACAAAATAATATAAAACAATGAAGACAGTAATATAAAACTGAAAGACAAGTAATTTACAACCCCATCATCGCCTTCCAGTCAACTATCAGCTGCTCAGTCATTGCCCTTGTTTCACGCGACATGTTGGGATACTCATCCAGTGCTCTTTGGTGAATCTCCATGGACCGACTCATCCACTGCAAATAAGAAAACAACATTTTATAGAAATTACAATTTTTTAAAGTCGTATTAATAGTATAATAAAACACAATTACTTACATAATCCGTTTTAGTCCTCTCAGGTAGACTGCTACTCCTAGCTGATGACCCCCCAGGAGATAGACGGGGATGAGAAAACTTGTACAGCCACTGCATGTAACCAGGAGCGATTGTAGGAGCTCGACCACCAAGTCTAGTGAGGGCACCTAAAACAACACTGAAAGACGAACCAGGGACAAACTGAGTCCACATCACAGATGTCATCTCGGTCGGAAAGTCTACCCGATACATCTTCAAGTTTGTCGATCTCTTGGCCTTCTCATGCCTAATAATGGTCCTTGGAATGTTATGCACGAATCCAAGTTGTCGAACCACTCGATCAGGTATGTATGGCTCAATGATGCTACGGTATTGGATGCAGCCAATAAATAGAGTGGGTGGCACGTGTCGTGCAGGATCAACTCCGTACGGGAGCCAGTTAACCTCAAGGTCAGTCAGCTGATCCAGTCTAGCACGAAAAGCGAAGAGGCGCTCCATGCTCTTTTTAGGGCACCCCGGTCCAACATCCCATGCAGACGCACGAGGAATACTAAGCTCCCTTGTCAAGATACCCTGCTGAGCCGAAAACATGGAAAGTGTTTCGGGGTTTTCTGATGTCCTGCGGGAGAGTTACAATTCCGATACTGGAACCGGACGCCTGTACCTGCAAAACAAACGGATGCTCCGGATGATTGGAGATCCGCCTCCGACGATCAAGTTAGTACTTGATTAAGGAG